GGAGCTAAGGATTTAATGTTTGCCTTGTGCATGGTCTTACTTTGGGCCCAGTCCTCTTTTCTATGTTCCAATTCTTCTTTTTTGGAATGAGAATTGCTTATTCATTTGTAACTGAATCTTAAAAACATGTATTTGGAGGGGGTATTCTCCATGGGCTCCTGACTAAGAGACTCTAGACTTCAACGTTTGAACAGTGTTGGAGCTGATAGCACTTCAGAACTTCTGAAGCTGGATGATGAATTCTGCTTTAGGAGACAGGAATGAGCCTCTGGGAACCAGGGGCAGAGTGTTATGGTTTAAATATGAAAGGTCCCCACAGGCACAATCGTTGAAGGTCTGGTCTGTAGTTGGTGGTAATATTTTGGGAGGCCCTGAAAACTTCAGGAGGTGCAACTTTGTAAGAGGAAGTAGGTCAACAGGGATATGGCTTTAGGAAATACCTGGAACCTAGCCCTTTCTCACCTCTGCTTCCCATTCACCATGAGATTAAGAACCTCTTCAACTATATATACACTCTTGTTCTGTCCAACTGCATGGAGTTAAGCAACTATGGACTGAACCCTCTCAAACTGTGAGCCAAAGAACTCTCTTCAAATAACTATTAGTTCCTTTTCTCTTTGCTGTGTCCAAATACTGGACAGAGCAATTTAAGGGGAAGGTATTTATTTTGGCTCAAGTTTTGAGTGGGCAAAGTCCATTAAGAAGTGAAAGACATGGAAGACTTCATAGATACAAGACTGTGGAATACCTCACGTGTTAGAGTTCAAGAAACAGAATTCAGGCTGGCATGGGCCCCAGTTATAACTCATAACTACACACACCTACCCACATCCTCTCAATACCTACTATTCTTCTCCTTCAGGTTATTTCTTTTCCTTTACCTCACTGTTTCCTTACCCTTGTCCTGGTTCCTGCAGTTATGTCTGTTTGCATACTTATTTATCAGAGTCTGATCCTAGGATCCACATATGAGGGAGAACATATGTCGATTTTTTTTCTGAGATTGTGTTACTTCACTTAGTATAACAGATTCTAGTTCCATCCATTTACCTGCAAATTTCATGATTTCATCTTTCTTTACTGCTGAGTAAAACTCCATTGTATATATGAACCACATTTTCATTATCCACTCATCAATTGAGGGACACCTAGGTTGAAAACTCACATTTCTTAACAGGGCATTCAATTCTCCCTAGGACATTCACCCCAAATCTACAGCTAAGTCTTGGCCATTTCCCACCAACGTTCACCTTTGTTTTTATGCTCCGTTCCCTTGCTTCCACTTCATTTGCCTAAACTAAGAATATCCTTACTGCCTTATAAAGCAGGAAAGCACTGAGAGGATGATGAGGTAGTGAACTACTAACTACATAGTTTGGAAAGGGGCTTAACTCTGCCTCTTTTTTCCCCAATGTATATATATTTTTGAATTCTTGTGCATTTCATGCAATCCATCTTAATCATATTTATATCCCCACACTGGAATTCATGCATTCGTATATGCTAGGGCCTATTGAGTCAGGTTTGTGTGCCTCCCGGGTATCCCTTGATGCAAGTTCATTCCATGATTATAGAAAAGGAAGGTCATAGGCAGGGGAGCTGGATTATGAAGGATGAGCCAGGACAGAGTCAGGTACACAGTAGATGCTCCTGAATTACCCTCACCATTAGCTCAGATCCGTTTACTTCAATGGCCTCTTTTCAGTGGCTTATTGCTCTGCAGAACATCTAGTCATATCTACAGCTGGTTCACACAGTAGTATCATGGTCCTTCTGCTCCACAGGACTATAGGTAAATATGCTTTGAGAAAGAGACTGCATCTCGTTGCTCCAGTGTCTGTAGAAATAGCAACACCCCATACATAGCTAGGCACACACTGGGGTCAGTGACCAGTTAGAGATGATGCAATGACACATGCGTCTTTTCACTCATCTCTAATGTAGGCAAAATCATTATGCTATCCTGAGTTTTATCACACTTAAAGTCATCTAGAGTTTAAGTTTTCCAGGTGAGGAGGCGATGGTGAGGAGTTACTGAAAGGAGGAGAGAGGAAGCTACAGAAAAATCTAGGTTATAACCCAGTTCTGCCACCGAGTTGATGTGTGACCCTGATCAAATCATTTAACTTCACTAAGCCCCAGATTTCACATCTGTAAATTGAAGGTAATTGCACTTGCCCTGATTTTGAGAGCTCAGGAAAGTCAGAGTACTAGGATGCAAACAATAGGGCCTCATGCCATTTTGAGGATCCCTAAAAAGGTCAGAAAGCAGTGTGCAGGAGTGCACTGTGCACACTGGATCACTTGCATCAAACTGGGAAATAACCTTTTAGAGAGTTGATAATCTGGATGTAGCTTATTTTTATAATCTATTTAAAATTCTATGAACTTGCACACTGTGCATTAATTCTTTTATATAGAGATTAAAAATGTAGAGCCACACTATGAAAGATTAAACCAAACTCAAGATTGCAAGCATAATTCTAGCACTGAGGATAATGTTAACAATCCCACATTTGTACTTACCTCCCTGTGGAAAGAACTGAGAATATATCTCTTTGAAGGTTTCTTCATTAACAACACCACTGGGACACTCCTAGAGAAAGTAGCACAGAAGTAATATGAGCAAACCAGTCAGAAGACTGATTTTTTTCACATTTTGAAACAGAACTATCTGCTGTGCAAAGATGCACCAAGAAAGCTAACAATTCATTCATCACTACAACACACACACACACACACACCACAAGAGAGAGAAAGGAAAAAATAAAAAGAAAAACCTCTTCCTCTCCCTCCCCATTTTCAATACAAACCAGGAAACTGAAGAGATAAATATCTTTTCATCTTGAACATCAAAGCAGGTAAGAGGACCTTGCATTGTCTCTCTTGTCAGACCACCAAGATATTACAATATACTTAAAATGGAGTCTTTACTAGATCTTCATTCTGTGATTTACAGAGATGTTTTCCGATCCATGTAATCTTGAGACCACTTTTAAAACATGATGTGTTTTATTGGGTCTATAACAGCTCAAGAAGGGGCTAGAGAGATGGTTCAGTGGTTAAGAACACTTGCTGCTCTTGCAGAGGACCCTGGTTCGGTTCCTAGCACCCACGTGGCAGCTCACAACAGTCTGTAGCATCAGTTCCAGGGGATTCAGCACCCTCTTCTGGCCTCCTCAGGCACCAGGTATACATGAAATACACTTACATACATCCAGGCAGAACACTCACATACATAAAATAAAAATTAACTAGTAAGTTTTTTAATAGATGACTCAATAAGCTTCAAACAGGAATAGTGATTCTTAGTAATTAGGTGTCCAGGAACACATGGTGACATGACCTAATAAAAATGATCTTGTATGAGACAGGACCTTAAGACTTTTGAACTTTTAAAAAAAGCTTTGTTTTTGTTTTATGTGTATGTGTGTTTTGCCTGCATGTATGTAAGCACACCTGTCCTGTATAATGCCTGTGGAGGCCAGAAGAGGGTGTCAGATCCCCTAGAACTGGAGTTACAGATGGTTGATAGTTATCATGTGGGTGACTGGGAACCAAACTTGGGTCCTCTGTAAGAATGGCCTATGTTTTTAACCGCTGAGTCATTCTCTAGCCTAAGACTTTTAGACTTTCGGAGATCGAGCTTTGTCTCTTGTCAGAGTTGTTGAGAACTGATGGATTCAGAGCTGGGGAACACCCTGGCATTGGTTTGTTGATCTGGAGGGACCATGGGTCAAAGCTGCTTCTAGAGTAGATATGGCAGGTTTTGAAATCTAAAATTTCAGAACATGTTGATATTGTTGTAGAGCAACTAAGGGCTAAGTAAGTAAACCTTAGACAGAGATGGGAAGAAAACCCTGTTCACTCTCTAGAGATACAAGAACAGTTTGCTCATGATCAGCAGGGTAGCTGCTCTGTGAGTGTTGATCATGACCACCACAAAGTAGTCCAGCATCACACCACATGCACAGGTTCTAACTGTATCCTGTCCTCGGGGAACCTGTGAACCCTAGTCATTCTGGGAAGCTTCGCAAAGGTCCATATAATGAAACCTCTTGCTTCAGTGGTCACATTCACACTCAGTGAAATGCCTCTAGGATTAAATTTACAGGGGGAGACCTAGAAGTGTGTGTAATTTCCTATGTGGACAGATGTTACATATGAATGCATGTTCTTTGTATTTTAAAATTGACCTGTTCTTGGTACCAATCATCTGTTGTGGTCTTTAAAATTTCTTTCAAGTTTTAAAATCACTGTCTGGGGCTGGAGGGATAATGTAGCTGTTAAAGGCTAAGGCTAACAACCAAAAACATTAAAAAACAAAATCACTGTCCTCTCACTAATAAACTTGTTTTATTTATTTTTAAACTAAAAAAAAATTATGTGTGTGAGTGTATTGCCTGTATGTGTGTTGTACCGTGCCCTCGGAGGTCAGAAGGCATCGAATCCCCTGGAATGCAAGTTATGGATGGTTGTTAGCTGCCATGTAGGTGCTGGGAATCAAACCCAGGTCCTCTGTAAGAGCAGTCAGTGCTCTTAACCAATGAGCCATCTCTCCAGTCCCAATAAACTTGATTTATTAATCTTGCCTTTCTCTAGTCCAATTAAGCAATCAGTTCTTTCCTCAACTATAATGTACTTCACCAAAGTAATTTTATATTGTCTAATTTGTTCCTTTGAGAGGTAGGGCCTTTGCTATAGCAATGATTTTTACTGATAGTTTCAATGTGAATCTGTAGAACCTGTTTATATATATTTCTTTTATCTGATGATTAATGAGTCTGAAACAGACAGTCAGAATATCTCTATTCTTATATAGAGATGGATTGGCATAGTGAAGTATGTGGGTACTAGGGAGGCAGAGGGGAAGCAGAAAGGAGGGCTCGGCATTTTCTAAGTCATTGCTAATTTTTATTTTCTCATGAGTCTTTTGGAAATTAGAATGACCCCAAAGATCTAAGAAGATCAGAGCATAGGAAAGGAAACTAAATACAAACAAGCAAAAAAGCAAGTAAGCTGTGCCGGACAGCTTTAGTGTCAACTTGACACACCTGGGTTGAGGAAGCCTCAATTGGGGAATTGCCTTCATTGGACTGGCCTGCGGCCATGTCTGTAGAGCATCTTCTTGATTGTTGAGGGATGTGGGAGGGCCCAGCCCACTGTGGGTGTTGCCACCTCTGGGCAGGTGGGCCTGTGTTGCATAAGAAAGCAGGCTGAGCAGGGGTCAGGGGAGCAAGCCAGTAAGCAGCATTCCTCCATGGCCTGTGCTCCAGCTCCTGTCTCCAGGTTCCTGCCCTGAGTTCCTACCTTGAGCTCCCTGATGAACTGTGACCTGGGAGATGTAAAACAAATAAACCCTTTCCTCCCCAAGTTGGTAGTGGTCAGAGTATTTTGTCACAGCAATGGAGAACAAACTAGGACATAAGCAAATCACACCATGGTTAATTTTATGTGCTGAGTTTTTTGTACTTCAGTCCCTAGTATTTGGTCCAGAGCCTTATTCTGGATGTTTCTATAAAGGTGTTTATGAATGAAACTTACATTTGTATTGATGAACTTTTAGTAAAGCAAATTACCCTCTGTAATGTCGGTGGGACTCATTCTATCCCATTGAAGGCTGGGAAAGAGAAAGCTTGACTTCCCCAGTAGACTTCCTTTGACCTTTATCTGAAGTATCAATTCATCATAAGGATATCTTTGAACTTGAGCTGCAAATATTTCCTGATGGATAGCCTCCTGGCTTCCCATATAAGAATTTGGATTGGCCAAGTTTCCACATTCTATTAGCCACTTTTAAGTCTCTGTCAAGGTCACTGTCTCCCTCCCTCTCTTTCTCTCCTCCTTCTCTTTTATATGTCTATATATGTGTACATATGCATGCATTCTCATATATAAAAATCTACATTTTTTCATGTGGAAAACCATGACTAATAGATAAAAGAACTGAAAATCAATGACTATGACTTTTAAAAGGAAATAAAATTGTATGCAAACACCTGTTTAGCAAAGTTTTTGATTAAGTACCTTTTGTTGGCAGCAGTGGACCAATTATAGCAGCAAATGAACACTTTGTTGCTGGGCTTTCTCACACATGGAAATTGTGATTTATTGGCTTCTTAACTGTGAGCCATCTGTTCAGGATAGCAAGGAGAAAGCAAATGTGTGGCTCTTTGCGATCAAGTGGAAAAATTTTGCCATGTCAGAATGGGAAAACTTCCTCAGAGTTACAGTGGTGCTGGCAAAAGATGAAATTGGGATCTAAAGGGCTGTCTCCATTCAGTAAACACGCTAGCTGCCTCTAATCTCCAGGAGTATTTGATAGATACATCTTATAGTATGAAATGATTGGTATAAATTGATTTTCTCAAAGGCGTTTGTTTTACTCATATATCTGTGTCTGGTAGCGTCATTTTTCAGCAAATGAAAACTCCTAGTTGAGTTTGAGGATGGTGGATTTCACCAGGAAAATTTGTCCCTATCCATGTAACATTCATTACACCAATTTTAGTTTCTAAAAAAATATAATAGAGTGTATTGACCATAGATTCGGAAAACTCAGTGTTTAGAGCAACTTTCAGGGTAATCTAGTTCCATGGCCTTATTTTCAAGTTGCAGAGATCAAGGCTAATGATGTTACAGAAATTTCCCTTAGCTTGATGGCCTGTCCAACCTTACCACTTGCCTGGCTTTCCTTCAGTCTAGGTTGATACACTGATACCACAAATGCCTTCCCATTCATACGATAGTTGTCTTCTTCTAGGACATATTTCAAGTAAGCTAACATAATGCTTTTAGTCTTGGGCTTGCAAGTTAAATAGGAAACTTAGGTGGATTTCCTGTTCTGCCACTTAGGCACTGAGTAATTTGAGGTAAGTTGTTTAGTCTTCCTCTATCATTGTATTTCTCTCTAAAATGGGAATAGCATTGACCTCAGAGGGCTGATATGAGACTTAATAAGAAAAATGCACATAAAGTTATTACCCCAGCCCTCTACCTTGCACATTGTAAACTGTTCATTAAATATTGACTTGCTAAACAGACCTCCATCATACAATGGATTACTGCAACATTAATGCAGATCTACCAACATTAAATTGTATCCATCAAAGTGTTTGAACTCAAAATAATAGAATCCTAGTACAATGCAATAAATTTATAGATTAGATAGGAGTTAGGTCTTCTGCTCTTGTAAATTAATTTTATCTATCTAACATCATTAGAATTTACTCTCGGACAGGGGGACACTGTAATTATAAATGGCAGTTGAGAAAATAAAGGCCCCGTCCTAAAAATAAAGGAGGAGAGATTCAGAATCCTTCTATACATTAACTTAAATGAAAATTATTCCCAGCAATGCTCCATTATGAAAAGTGTTGGAATGATGCTTTAGGGACAGATACATGTATTCACAGGAAATTGCTAAGAAAAGTATTTTGTGAGATGTATCTTGAGTTTTTAAACTTTTACCTCATAAGAAAACCTTTTAGCATTTGTCTAAATCTCCTAGAGCTCTGGGGGGATGCATTAGAAATGTTGCTAAAAACAGCTACCGAATTGGACTTAAAGCCAATTGGGAGGAAACTCATGTGTGGT